AACAAATCGCACAAGGTCACAACCACAAAAATACAAATTGTAAATCACAAATACATATTTAGTCATAAATCATACATTTTTTTAGGTTACATATTACTTATTGGTTACAAAATACCCATTTTACCAATCACACACACTCAAATAATTGGTCACAAATGCACTTCACTCCACCACAATCGACATCACCTAAATACAGTTGCTACCTCACTAACACTACAACCAGAACCACCATTGCACCACAACCATCACCTGCACCAACAACCACCATCACCAATTCCTCAAATCCACATCACCTTCACCTCCATTTCCAACCAACCACACAGACACGTACAACCAAAGATGCAACGCCACCGTACCCACCACCATCACCATCACCTACAAGAACAATCACCACCACCTCTTCAAATCACCATGGCCTCCACTTTCACTACACCACAACCATCACATCCATCTCCAAACCAACCACCACCATCACCCTTGCATCACAATTACACATAGACGCACAATGAAGTACTGATGGATCGGAGTGGTGAAAAGCGAAGATAATGAGAGTGGTGGTGGCGAGCAACAGTAGTGAAGTGGTGTGAAATTGTGACTTGGTACAACGGGTGAGAGGTTAGGTAGACTGGGTGTAATATATATTTGATTTTTTAAAGAATAAAGTTAAAATCTGATTTTTGAAATTGTAAGTTAAAAAGTAGGGATATGTGTAATTTCTCGTTACATACCTTGGCCAACTAATAGTGGGCCTCGGCCCATTTTTATTTCTTCTGCTAATTGGGCTATCTCAAATAACAACATTATATTTACAAAAAGTCCATGTAGAGTTGTCCCCAAGTCTTTCATCACGCAAAGTGAAATTTATTTACAACATATATGTCCACAGTATTTAACCACTTTTTCTAACGTTTTTCTAAAGGGTAAGAAAAATGGACAAATCATAGAATTCTAAATTAAAGATTTGTAGAAATCAATAAGTAGGATGAACCAAGATGAGGAAAATATATAGAATTTGGGCACTTAAACTTTTATTTCAATTATTCATTTTGTGGACCTATTAATTAGTAAATTTTTAGCACCACGACGATAACAAAGTTGTAGTTTCAATGAATTCACTATAAAATTTCAACTATTAAGTAATGGTTACTCAATTGGAACTTTAAAAAAAATTACTCGTGACACTATTAAATGTCAACATGATTCCAAAGGGTTTTGGAGCTTGGATATTATTAAATTGGGGAGTTAGAAATAACACATTCGGATGGGGAAACAGTTTAGATGTTAAAACATATTACACAAATGAGCTTCAAATATAAATGTGTTTTTTCAATTATAAAAAAGTTAAATAATTTTTTTTCAAAAAAATCCTAAGTAAAATTTCTTTTTTCTTATGGTCTGGGAGGATGTTCACGTGAAAACCACCAAGCGTTCGGGATCGTTGTACAAATAATAATATTTGTGAGTTAAGAGTATCGTTCCCACGAGAAATAATGTTTAATTTGTAGTTTAATGGCTACTATTAAATTTGAAGTATGGTGACATTAAGAGTGTTGTAATTTGTTTGTTATTTATTCTAATTCTACTCTAAGAAAGCAATAAAAAGCGATTAAATCGAATGTGAATGCTTATATTGAATTCATATATCCCCCTATTTTCATCTATTTTAATTCTCAATAATCATTTTATTCAATTTGTGCATTTTTTACAATCGATAAAGGTAATATATTAAATGACATTTTCCAAGATATATCAACCAATGATTAACACGAGACGATTAGTCTGAATTCATATAAAAGTCATGCATTTAGTTTAGATTATCAATAAGATTTCATGTGCGAAAGAGATTGTTTCTAATTATAACTATACATGATAATTTTACCGCATTCTATTGTGAGTATTCATATACTGCAACAAGCAACAAACTATTCAATTAATGGCCAAAAAATCAAATAGTGCAATGAGTATGTAAAATCAATCAAACAATACAAGAACTTCCTAAATTAACGTCTAGAATTGATATAAATGAAAATAGGGTTCAAACGCATCTAATACAATTGAAAAACTAGTCTAACATGTTTAAAATTAAATAACAAAAGAATAATTGGAAAATCATCACTCGGAAAGAATAAATAATGAAGAATTAGAAATTTTCTACATTCTTGATGTGAATCTTAAATCCGGATGAAGAATCTTCAATATCCTATGCAATTCTTCTTGATTTCACGTTGTTATCTTTGTTCTTCGGCTCCAAAATTGATCAGAATCTATGAATTTTTTAGGTCTAAAGAGATTTTTTTTTCAGAAGATAAACCATGCATATTCACAATATACATGATTCAGTTCTAGTAACTCCATAATGGGCTTGTGCGTATGCACGGCCTGTTGGCCTATGCGTACGCATGGTTTTTACCATTTTGGGACCAATTTACATATTGGTCCTTGAATTTTCCCAAATATGTATTTTGATCATTTTCTACCAATTTTTCGTCTCGTTGACTTCTCTTCACTTCTAGTTGACCCTCAGCATTCTTGAATCGCCCTCTTGCAATCCAACACAACTATTGGAACGTTGCACTTTAGTCCTCATGGTTTGAATTTCGCCATTTTCTCTATTTTTTAGCCTGTTTTCTCTAATTCTTCATCAAATCATGAGTTTTACCTGTTAGACACAATTTAACTCAAATTAGGTTATATTTTATCAAAAAAATTAGAAAATGTCATTATTTAAAGTCCCAAATAAGTATATAAAATGCACTTATCAAATCTCAAAATTTGAATTTTTGTTTGTTCTAAAATAAAATCACAACCTAACTTAAAACAAACACACAAGCATGCAAAATTATTTAGCTAGATAACCAGACATTTTATCTCAGAATTGAAATCATGATATTAAATCGAAGCATAGCTTCAAGATCACAATACAGAAATCAAAGTCCACTTTTTCAATGCAAAGTCGATATGCTTGTGTAAAGAATTAAGCATATCATCATGAATTCATAAATTATGCCATTCTTGACCCTTAA